TTATAGGATCCCAAGCAGATGGTAGCACCCAACCATCTTCTCTGTTGAAATTTGGATGTTTTTTTAATTTCAATAACCTCGCGTATCATCCTTGGTAGGAATCGGTGTTCTTTTGCGAGAATTTGTGGTTTATCAAATCTAATGTAATGGTGGGGACGATCTTGAACATGTTCGCAGACTGCAGACTTCCCGGAGCGTTGGTGCTTCACATCAGCTATATGTTCCTTCACGCGGGTTTTTATAGATCTCTTTGTTTGACCTATGTAAGAGAGACCACATTCACAATCTAGCTTGTACACACCTGCATCTTGTAGAGGAATATTACATTTGATGGATGGTAAAAATTGACTAATCTTTTTTGTTTTTTGTTAAGCTCCGTGGATTTAGATAAACCACAAATTCTCGCAAAAGAACACCGATTCCTACCAAGGATGATACGCGAGGCTATTGAAATTAAAAAAACATCCAAATTTCAATATAGAAGATGGTTGGGTGCTACCATCTGCTTGGGATCCTATAATTAACAAAATTAAACCCAAACCCAAGCATACCACTGCAAGACTTCATGATACTTCATAAGCTCGTTTTGCGTAAATCGGACCAAAAATTAATATTAAAAAAACTGAAGGTAGCCGGAATAACTATGTAGACATTGGGACGTCAAACATCTTAGTACCCCCCCCCCGTGACCATGGGTGCTGTAAAGCACCACAAACGTCGGGATAATAATAAAAATAAATTAAAGTAATTAAACGCGATAAAATCCGTAAATAATAGTTTTATTCAATGTGTAGTGTTCGCGTAAATTTAAGAAATCACTAAAGGATATAATCTAAAATTAGCTAGGTTAGATAGGCGGACATTGTTAATATTTCTATTGTGTTTATTTTTTGATCTTTGATAACTAGAAAAAAACAAATTTTGAAAATGTTAATGTTATTTAACACACGAACGTAGTTTGTAAGGGCGGGGACAGTCGTGATTAAGTTTTCAATAGAGCCGAAATGTGGTTTTACGGCAAACACCCGTAGATAAACTAACGTGTTATCAAAGGGTCGGCTGATCTTATATGCAAGAATAGAGAAGTTGCGTATGTTAACAAAATGTAACAACAGCTGATGTAACTTAATTGCTTTACTAATTTTGTTTTGCTAAAATAAGAGATGAAAAGTTCGATTTTTTAATTTTTATATAAAATTGATTCATATAATAAAATTATGTATACAAATTAAAAATTATAGTAGTAGAAATAAAATAGTTTACTTGTTTCACTTTCACATTCAATCTGGTTATACGACAGGCACACTGAAATAATCGGGAATAAGAAAAACCACATGCACGGTGTAGCTAAATCGTATTTTATTATTTTTGAAGTATTCTCCGTTCAACTTAATGCACTTTTCCATTTGTGCAAACCAATCATTATAACAGTAATTCCAGTCTGAAGTTGATATTGACAAAATGGCTGATTTGTACGTTTCCACAGCTGCTTCGGGGTTTTGAAATCGTTGACCGCGTAATAAATCTTTCATTCTAGGGAATGTGGAGAAATCGTTTGGGCTTAGGTCAGGACTGTACGGAGGATGGCTCATCAGCTCAACGTTTTCCTGCTTCAAAAAAATCATTTGTCTTCCAAGCCGTATGGGAGCTCGCATTATCGTGATGTAAGATGATGCGACGTTTCGGGTTATTTTTTCGGAGTTCGGCTATCATTTCTAGCAAACAAACCGTGATATACCACTCAGCGGTAACCGTTCTGCGTTCTTGTAAAGGAATTGTAACAACATGCCCCTTTTTCGAGACAAACGTAGCGACCATTTTCTTTGACACGCTGCGGGAGCGAACCACTTTCGTTGGTTTGACCTCGTCTTCGAAGACCCAAACTGTTGACTGATGTTTTCTTTCAGGTTCGTATGAATCAATGCATGATTCGTCACCTGATACGATATTATAAACGGCATTTGACTTCCCTGCGTTGAAGCGTTGCAGAGTATTCCGGCACTAATCTACACGAGTTGCCTTTTGCTCTTCGGACAAATTGTAGGGAACCCAGCCGGTAACTAGCTTTCTTACACACAGCTCATTATGTAATTAAATTGCAGTAATTCCGATACAAATAAGAGCCCGAATCTGCTTGTATGTCACATGATGGTATTCTAATAAAATATTTCGCACAGCTGCGATGTTTTCAGGCGTGACCGCTGTTCTTGGTCGACCTGCAGAAGAAACAGTGCTGAGCGACAAACGACCAAGTAGAAACTCGGCATACCAGCGGTATATTGTCATTTGACTTGGTGCTTCAACATCATAAATCGAAACAAGTTAGCTGAGACATTTATTTTGAAATAAGCCGCGACGAAAATTGTGATAAATTATGACACGGAAATGTTCACGCGTGAGCTCCATTTCTGTTAACGACGTGTAACTTTAAACCAACATAGTTTTTGTTTTGAAACGTTTTTTAACTGTTTGAATGATATTAAGATTCTAAGAGGCCAGTATTCAAATTCTAAAAAGGTTTTATTGTAACTCAATCCGAAATATTCTATTCCCGATCATTTCAGTGTGCCCTAGTAATTTATTAGAAGGATAATTTTTATCTTACAAAGGAAAAATAGGTAGTACTCGTAGTAATAATAGTTTAGGGAATAATAAGTTATTTATTAATTTACTACGTTTAAAAAAAAATTGAAACCCTGCGTGTACATATATATATATATATATATATATATATATATATATATATATATATTACTTGCTCCTGTAAAAAAATGTGTAATATATTATTTTCAGAGCAATTTATACAGTATTCAAAAATTATTATAGCCTAGCTCATTATTCATAGTTCATTTATGTATTCAGTTTCAGAACGAGAATCCGATTCTTGTTCTTTATTCAAATGTTCGGACTCAGTGCACTAAAGCCCGGGGTTTATTTTGATGCAGTCGATTTCAAAATAAGTGTCACATTTATTTATAATAATTCTGTGACCGATCTTAGAACATATCCCTTTACTTGGCAGATATTTTTTTTCGTATTTTATTGTTTTTCTCTCAATCAGGGTGTTTAATTAGGTAAATAAAAGGTGAATAAAATATTAAAAAAAATTTTTGCTTTTAGATATTTTTTATTGAACGTATCCTGCAGTGCACACTGCCAGGTAAGTAACAATTTACAATATAAAAAGTACGTGTCCTGACAGATACAGTGCCAGGTTTACATTGTAACAAAAAATAGATACCAATTGTAATTAATCAACAATTGTTTATCATTTTTACTATCTAATTAACAGTTTTATAATTATGAGATCACGTTATATAATCAAATTACACAAATTATTTGCTTTACAATACTATTTGGTATGATATGCATGAAAACAGTTGCGCTCTTCTACTAAAGAAAGTCTTATTTTACATTTTTGACAATGAATTCGGGTTTGGCCTTTTGTGCAATTTTTGCACCTGCCTTTAGTTTCAAATACTGGCATATGACCAACTTGGTCATATCGTACAGCGTCAATGGGTCTCTCTGCAGCTGGTTTTTTTATTAGTGATACATTATTGTTAAGTTTATTGGCAGAAACGCCTCTGTCAAACAAAAGTAGGCTGCGGTAAATCTCGTATCTGAATTCTTTCAATGGCATTAATTTTGACTTATTTGGAACACCTCGCCGGTACATTAGCCAAGCGTTATTAACGCATATATCAAGGATTTGCGAAAACAGAGGTAGATACCAGCGATGTCCCTTGAATTCTGTTCTGTATAATGCAATAAGCATATCAGCTAAATCCACGCCACCCATATTGGAGTTGTACTCCTTTATCATTCGTGGACATGGTACTGGTATTTTCTTTCTCAGTACTTTGTTATACTTAAGAGGATGTGAGTCTACGTATGTGCTTGCAACAGTGACGCATTTGTTGTCGTACCACTTGGTAACAACAATCTTATTTTTGTTACACACAACCTGAGCATGTGAACCTCTCCCTTTCTTTTTTAAGTTTTTATCGATAGGAAGTTTCTCCTGTGCTCCACGAAGTCGGTTGGATCTAATAGTTCCCAAAGAAAAAATACCGTATTCATTTCTTAGCCGGTGCATCAATTCAATTGAGGTAAAGAAGTTGTCAAAGCACAAGATTTTACAAGCAGGCTGGCGAATGGATTTGGCTAGAGCTATGACGACTTTTGCACCTAATCCCATGCTTTCTTCTTCTTCTGTAAACGAAGTGAACCGGAATGTATCTTCCCCTCCATATACCAAAAAGTCATATACAATGCCCGAAACACCAGCGCGAACAAAAATTTTAAAGCCCCATTTCTTTGGTTTATTTTGTACATATTGCTTTCTGCTTCCTGCTCTAGTACCTTTGTAGGGCACCATCATCTCGTCTATGCTAAAAGTTCGTTCTTCTTTTATTTTTAGGCAATTCTCTCGAACCTTTTGCAAAAGTGGTCTAATCTTGTAGTACCTGTCTCCATCATCACGCAGGTTATCGTTAAAATGTAGATATCTTCTGAGTAGTTGAAACTTTTTTAGCGTCATGACATTCGCTACTTTTTCGTAGCGAAACTTTTGAGACCAGAAATCTGTGTATGCTGGCATTTTAACGATACCTAGTAATATATTAATGGCTATAAAGTCTCGAACATCACGTTCCGTGATATTAATACTAACGCCCTTGGTCTGTGTACTGTAAAGATTAGTTTGAGCTACTATTATTTCCACTAATTCGTCGGTAAAGAAGCGTTTAAAATATTCAATTGGGCTCTTGTTTTCTTGAGGAAATTCCAAAGAATCTTCAACTTCAGCCGAACCAGTGAATTTCTGACAACGCCAATTGATCTCTAACCTTTTTGGTTTTAGTGCTTTCTTTTTTGTGACAACAGTAGGTTTTCGAGATCGAGTAGCTGCTGCGGGTGAAGGTGCATAGTATGGTGATGTGGAAATAAGCGGGGATGGCACAAATGTTGGCTTAGTGGATGAAGATGGTACCGTATTTATGGAATGGCATGTCCCTAGCTTTGGTGAAGTAATTTCAGCAGCTTGTAACAGCAAAATTGATGATGATTGCCTTGGTGATAAAATTGATGGCGAAGCGCAGTTATCACTTGCAGGCGATGAGTATAGTTGCAAAGCTGGAGCATTGTGCGTTATTTCATCTATCTCTTCACTGCTATCCGATAAAAGGTTTAGATCCAACAAAGATGACGGCAAAGATGGAGGTGGAGAGCTACTGTCTGAAAGAGTTGGAGGGATATACTTATCTAACTCATCAGCTGAATCATCACTGCTACCTACGTCTGATCTAGCTCCAGATTTTGGAACTAGGGCGAGAATTCTGCGGGGTCTATTTTGTTGTTGAAGCTTTTGTTGTAAAATCTGGAAACAAACATTAATTATCGTACAGCTGATCTTAAATAACTATGAGCATTTGTACCAAAACATACATAAATATAAAAAAATATATATCTATCCAGTACAGTAACTGTACAAGTATTATGAAAATTATATGTTTAAACGTGTTAATTAGGAATATAAAAAATCTACGATTATCTTTTTTTTGCATAGACATTGCATACCAATTTTTTTAAATATGTACACATTCAACAATAAACTGGCAGTGTATCTTCATAGATACACGTCAAAAAACACTTGTTGTTTGCGTAGCTGGCAGTGTATATTCAGAGATACATATGGGCAAACTGACTTGTAAAATCGAATATATAAAGTATTGGTATGAAAAAACTACATCCAGGGATAACATAACATTATTGCATTTACTTTTACTTCAAATAATAACCAAAAATGCATAAAAAAGTAGCAAAATACATAATACTTACCGGCATGTGCGTAGACGCCTGCTTATGGTCCGCCATTTTGCGGGCTACTGACGGTTCAGTGTTACCAGCTATAAAACTATAAATCCTACTAAATATAATAGATCATAGACTAACTTATTACAAGAAAAACTATGTCAAAACTTGTTTAGTTTTCCTACAATATTTTTTTAAAGAGCTGTGTATCCACTGATGCACTCTGCCAAGTTAAGGGATATATAACAAACTGTGTTTTTATTCAATGAATTGGCATCATCCACCATCGTGTGCGTGACCCTTTGTTAACTTTATTTTTGATTTAACATTTATGAGACTATAGTTTGCCAATGCACACAATAAAGCGTGGTTTACATAGTAATAGAATTACTTTTCTGCCCAGAAATCAGTTTGGGTAGGTAGGTATATACCAACTATTTCTCATCCTTACCGCATACGAACGAGAGCACAAAGTTAGAATATCGTGTGGGTGTAGATTTGTTCTTGCGTCTTCGGTTCGCGTTGCGTGTGTGCGTGCATGCGTGTGTGTGTGTGTGTGTGTGCGTGTGTGTGTGTGTGTGTGTGTGTGTGTGTGTGTGTGTGTGTTGTGTGTGTGTGTGTGCGTGTGTCTTCGAATTAAGAATAGATGTATGCTAATGAAGAAGGATATAAACAGATGTGTTGATGTTTTCTTCGGCTCAGAATAATCTTTTATCTACCCGAAGCAGGCAGGCATCTTGAAGTCTTGCAGTGGTATGCTTGGGTTTGGGTTTAATTTTGTTAAATATAGGATCCCAAGCAGATGGCAAAAATCATTCATCTTCCCTATTGAAATTACGATGTTTTTTTTTTTAATTTTAATAGCCTCCCGTATCATCCTTGGTATGAATCGGTGTTCTTTTGCAACGATTTGTGGTTTATCAAATCTGATGTAATGGTGGGGAGGATTTTGAAGATGTTTACAGACTGAAGACTTCCCGTAGCGTCGGTGCTTCACGTCGGCTACATGATCATTCACGCGGGTTTTTATGGATCTTTTTGTTTGACCTATGTAAGAGAGACCACATTAACAATCTAACTTGTACACTCCTGCATCTTGTACAGGGATATTACACTTGACGGATGGTAAAAATTAACTAATTTTCTTCGGCGGTTTGTAGTATGTTTTAATAGAAGCTCGCTTCAAAATATATCCAACCTTGTCTGTCGGTAGTACAACAGGAACACGCTAGACTGTGGCCGGCTTCACTCGGTCACTGTGACGTAGACGCGCTAAATAAAAAGAAAGCGCGAAAAGAAGGCTCGTAAAGCTAAAGAATTATTTGCCTCTAACTCCATTGTGAATTGTTTTTAAGAGTTTATAGAGTTAGGGTGGTCTAAAAATGCTGTTACTTTGTCATACGGTAAAATTGTGAAAGTGTCGTCTACGTGCTGCTTGTAGAATCTTGAATTTGTAGGAGCAGTAAGAAAGGCTTTCTCCTCAAAGTCCTTCATGTATGTGCCGGTGACTATGAGAGATACAGGTAAGCTCATCGCCACAACATCTACTTGTTTGTAGAACTTCTCCTTCCACAATAGATAGCTAGATGTGAGGCAGTGTTTGAGTAATACTGTAATACTGAATATTCACCAGGCACCTTGTTATCTTCTTGCTTCCTAGTTACGATTGAGATGCAGTCTTCCATAGGTAGGCATAGTGATAGTGACTGAACATCAAAACTGACCACAATTTCATTTTCAGCGAGATGTAGGTATTATATCTTACTAACAAAATGGTATGAATCCTTTGTGTGTGCTCTAGTATGTCCTCTCAGTGGTGACAGTATTTTTGTCAGTGTTGTGCCAGCTTATAAGTCGGTGAATCGATCTGGCTCATTATAGGACGTAGTGGAGCTTTTGGTTTGTGTGTCTTCGGTAAACCATACAACCTCGGTGGTCTGGTACATGATGGTATTATCGAATTCACGTCGAGATTAAATTTTTCGAAGTATTTCTTTATTAAATCGCTAATTTTTCTAAGCGTGTTAGTTGTGGGGTATGTTTTGACCTTTTTGTATATACTTTCGTCCGATAAAAACTGTTGTATTTTAAAATTATAATCCGATGTGTCCATTATTACCGCAGCATTTCTTTTAACCCCGCGGAGAATTGTGAGTCTGTTGTAAGTTAATCGACTCTTTAAATTCGTCTTTAGGAAGGTTTGCTTTCGGCACTAAACTACGGCGTAACAAGGAAGAAATATCTTGACGTATGGCCTCCAAATCTTCCTTATCGATATTATTCTTAAACAGACAATCCTAAACATTGCAGATAATCTTTTCGTACGGGATTTTTCATGGTGTTAATGCTAAGTTAATTCCCTTCGCTAATACATTTATTGTCGGTTCTTCCAGTGTACTACGTTTTGATAGATTATAGACCGTGCGTTATTTATTGTTTATTGTATTCAACGGTTGTTTTTGTTCTGACGTCGACTTAGATGTTTAGCATTTACTACTTGATGATCGTTAACTTTTGGTATTTTTCTATTTTTTTATTTTTGCATTCATTGTATTTCGATGATTCGACGTTTGTTTAAATTTTCGATGCAATTATAAAAATGAAAATGAAAATGTAGTTAAAACTGTCTTTAGTTCACCGAAAAAATTGTCTATGACATTGTTTATGAAATGTAGATCGAACCATTTCTGCTGAATCAGCGTTCATAACAACTATTTACTTGCCTTATTTAAGGTCTTAGCGCTTCCTCGTGTCCTTTTTTGTTGATATTTTGATACACGTAAGAATGAGATTATGGTCTCTGCATCACTCTAAGAAATTTAAAGATGTTGTATATCTTGCGCTGTGAATCTGTTAAAACATATACTGTATAAACTGACAATAAATGTATAAGTGAAGGGAATTAACTTCGCATTAACACCGCGAAAAATCCCGTACGAAAAAATTATCTGAGGTGTTGAGGATTGTCTCTTTAAGAATAATATCGGTAAGGAAGATTTGGAGGCCATACGTCAAGATATTTCATCCTTATTACGCCGTAGTTCAGTGCCGAAACTAAACCCTCTAAGATAAAGACGAATTCATAGAGTTGATTAACTTACGGAACTTACCAAAGCTCAAAATTCTCCGTGCGGATAAAAGAAATGCTACGGTAATAATTGACACATAAGATTATAATTTTTAACAGTACAATTAAGATTAAATAATGATACAGATTCACTGACTTATAAGCTGTCACAACACTTGCAAAAATACTGTCACCACTGAGAGCACATAAGCACACACAAAGGATTCATACCATTTTGTTAGTGAGATAAAAGACCTACATATCACTGACAATGAAACTATGGTCAGTTTTGGTGTTTGAAACTGCATCTCAATCGTAACTAGGAAGCTATAAGATAAAAGCATGCCTGCTGAATATGCAGTTTTACTCAAACACTGCCTCATATATACTAGACTGCACTAAAAGTATCGGGAATGGAGTATTTCCACTGTTCCTGTCATATTAAAATCTTTTTAATTGAAAACTCCTTGGTTTTAAAAATCGAATACCATTTATTTATTTAAAAAAAGATTCTCGGTCTTGTCACAAGGTTTTGTCAAACTTGTTTAGTCGTTGAGAAAATGGAATTGACTCGAGAAAATTCAAGAGCGACGATTTATTATGACTTTCGAAGTGATTTAACACAAGAACAGTGTGTTTACCGGATGATTTCTGCTTTTGGTGATGAAGCCCCATCCAAAACAACAATTTATCGCTGGTTTGCTGATTTTCGATTCGTGGACGTGTCAAGCTCTGTGATGATCCCCGTCAAGGTCGTCCAAAAACTGCAGTCCCCCAAGAAAACGTTGATGCTGTGCGTAAGCTGATTGAGAAAGAACGAGATGTGTCATACCGAGAAATTCAGACAACTTTAGACATTGGCATGAGTCAAATACAAATAATCTTGCATGAACAATTAAGTGTAAAAAAGTTGTTTTCCCGATGGATACCGCATTGGCTCTGTGAAGAGCAAAAAACGGCTCGCGTTACTTGGTGCGTCAGAACTCTCGAAAGATTCCACGCAGGATCCTCAAATGCTTTATACAATATCGTATCAGGTGACTAATCCTGGATATCCGCGTACGAACCTGAAACAAAAAACCAGTCACCAGTTTGGGTGTTCGAAAATGAGTTAAAGCCAACAAAAATTGTTCGTTCACGTAGTGTTGCAAAAAAAATGGTAGCCAAGTTTGTCTCCAAAACCGGCCATGTTACGACTATTCCTCTTGAGGGACAAAGAACGGTTAATACAGAATGGTATGCTTGCATTTGTTTGCCACAGGTCGTTTCTGAACTCCGTAAAGAGAACTGCAACCACCGCATCATCCTCCATCACGACAATGCGAGTTCTCACACCGCACACAGAACAAAAGAGTTTTTAGAGCAAGAAAAATAGAATTATTAGACCATCCGCCGTACAGCCCCAACCTAAGCCCTAATGATTTCTATACTTTCCCTAAAGTAAAGAATAAATTGCGTGGCCAGAGATTTTCATCACCAGAA